TGAGTGTGTCTGTGTGTGTCTGTATGTGTGTGTGTGTGTGTGTGCGGTGTGTGTGTGTGCGGTGTGTGTGTGATACACATCTGCTAATTCTACCATGTAAGGTTACTTGGTATCGTGTTGCAGGCAGATTTATTAGGAAGATTAATTTTTCCTCGTTCCGTCATAACGGTTGAGATGACGATGACAACAATTGCGGTGATGATGATGATTGGTGATGATAGCTATGGTCATGATGATGATGATGATTGGTGATGATAGCTATGGTCATGATGATGATGATGATTGGTGATGATAGCTATGGTCATGATGATGATGATGATTGGTGATGATAGCTATGGTCATGATGATGATGATGATTGGTGATGATAGTTATGGTCATGATGATGATGATGATTGGTGATGATAGCTATGGTCATGATGATGATGATGATTGGTGATGATAGCTATGGTCATGATGATGATGATGATTGGTGATGATAGTTATGGTCATGATGATGATGATGATTGGTGATGATAGCTATGGTCATGATGATGATGATGATTGGTGATGATAGTTATGGTCATGATGATGATGATGATTGGTGATGATAGCCATGGTCATGATGATGATGATGATTGGTGATGATAGTTATGGTCATGATGATGATGATGATTGGTGATGATAGCTATGGTCATGATGATGATGATGATTGGTGATGATAGTTATGGTCATGATGATGATGATGATTGGTGATGATAGCTATGGTCATGATGATGATGATGATTGGTGATGATAGTTATGGTCATGATGATGATGATGATTGGTGATGATAGCTATGGTCATGATGATGATGATGATTGGTGATGATAGTTATGGTCATGATGATGATGATGATTGGTGATGATAGCTATGGTCATGATGATGATGATGATTGGTGATGATAGTTATGGTCATGATGATGATGATGATTGGTGATGATAGCCATGGCCATGATGATGATGATGATTGGTGATGATAGTTATGGTCATGATGATGATGATGATTGGTGATGATAGCTATGGTCATGATGATGATGATGATTGGTGATGATAGTTATGGTCATGATGATGATGATGATTGGTGATGATAGCTATGGTCATGATGATGATGATGATTGGTGATGATAGTTATGGTCATGATGATGATGATGATTGGTGATGATAGCTATGGTCATGATGATGATGATGATTGGTGATGATAGCTATGGCCATGATGATGATGATGATAGTTGGAAATATGGAGATCATTGAAGTTGTAACATCGGTGGTGTCTGTTGTAACGAGCGTTAAAGTATTTCAATAATATATATATAAATATTTTTTTTACAATATTCTATAAATTCTACCGAATGTTTGGCGTTAATATGTTTGTAGCTCGTTTTTTCGATTTTTCTCACTAAAGTTTTTTGGTGAACGTTTAGTTTATTAAAATTCAAAATAAACTTATTTTTCGAATTCATGCTGCAAATAAGGCCATATTTCGATTCCGAATGAATCATCGTCAGTGCTCCTTGTTGTATATATAGGGAAATATTGACTTTGTCAAGATGAACTTTGACGTTGTAAAAATTAACTTTGGTGTTGTAAAATTGACTTTGATGCGAATTAGGTGTCAGGTTTCTTTATTGGCTGGTCATCTTCTTTGGTCTCCTTTTCTTCATTTAGTGAGAAAAATCGAAAAAACGAACTACAAACATATTAACGCCAAACATTCGGTAGAATTTATAGAATGTTGTAAAAATTATGGTCTATTACCAAGATATATATATATATATATATATATATATATATATATATATATATATATATATATATATCACTCTTTAAATCAACATCTCTTCATCGTCTCCATCATCATCTTCATTTTCATCATCATCAACAATAGCAACAAGATCATCATCATAATCGCCACAAACATCATCATCATCATTATCATAAAATCTTCCCAAACTACTCAACTTACATATTTTTATTCCATCTCTTTACATAAAAAATACCTTTTTATACCTTTTCTGAACCTTTACTCTTAATTTCGTCGTTAACATCAAGCTAATGTCATTCGCCCGCCATATATTTCTACAAACCTCCTTTCTAAAATTGTCAGAGGTATCATCAACAAACACACACATACACACGCGCGCGCGCAGTAACACGCATACACATACACACGCACACACACACAAACAAACAGACACTCAATCAAACAAACAAATATAATATAATATGTACACATATATAAAATGTACAACCCATCACTCGCATATGTTTTCAAAATAAAACAGGCATGACGATTCCTCTTGCGTTCGAACTAGTGTACAAAGGGACGAGTTTTCGTTATCGTTTTAATCATTATTATTATTACTATTATAATTATTATTTATTAATTATTATTATTATCAACAGGATAGTCGTCATCATCATCATCATCATCATCATCATTGCTATCCTCATCTCGTAATATAATAGAAAAGTGTGCTAACCTTATTAAATATGCTAATGAGATGCATGAAATGAATACCATCTCATTAATTATTCATAAGCTGACATCACATGTGCACACATACACACACAAACACACACATATACACATTCATACATATGTACATACACTATAATATAAGTAAAGATTATGGTGTCAAATGGAATTGTTAAAATGTTGTATAGACGAGTGATGGTGACAAATGATGCAACTGTAACGATTGTTTAGCATTGGTTATTGTCAAGATGTATGTATGTATGTTTGTATGTGTGTGTGTGTTTCTGTGCCTGTATGTGTGCGTGCGTGTGTGTGTGTGGTGTGTTTGTGTGTGTTAGCACTCTAATATTGAAATGAATCAAACACACATGTGATTAATTATGCTGTTCCTAGAGGCGTACATTAAAAGTTTTATGAATGAAGTCTATTGTTTGTTTGTGTCCGATCCATCCATCTATCCAGCTGGGATTCTTTTCTTCTTTCATTCACTCATTTATTCATTCATTATTTCATTCGTTCGTTCGTTCTTTTGTTCATTCATTCATTCATCCAATTATTCAGTCAGTTAATTTTTCCAAGACTTTAAGCAATGTATAAAGTAATATGTTTTATTTGAAGAAACAAACACATACACATACACACTCACACACACACAACAAATACACACACATAAGCATAAAAACCTATAGGCACACACACATTCCGAATTTTAACATCATAATGATAATAATATGTATCCACTTTTACTGCTACTACTACAACTACTACTGCTACTGCAACAACTACTACTACTACTACTGCTGCTACTACTACTACTACCGCTGCTACTACTACTGATGATGAGAACTTTTATTGGCCAAAAAACTGATGATGATTATTTAAACTTTATATAATTTAAAATAATAAAAATACAATTATTTATAAAGATGACTACGTTTTCGCTACTTTATAAATAATTGTATTTATGATAGTCTAAACCCAAAAAATAATAAAATAATATAAAATAATAATAAAAATAATACTGGAGTTCCTCCTCATCACATGCCTACCAGGTGTCAGTAATACAGGTGCGCATCTGCATAACATAGAAACTTTAATTTGTGTGTTGTATGTACGTGTTCATGTGTACATACATTGTACAACTGCATAATGTGTGTGTTGTACAACAGAGCGTATGTTAACAAAACACTAACTGTACAACCAGCTATGCATACAAAAGGATGTTTGTGTGTGTGTGTATGTTGTGTGTGTGTATGTTGTGTGTGTGTGTGTGTGTGTGTGTGTATTGGGTATGTCTGTGTGTATGTGAGTGTGTACTGCTAATAATGTACAAATGTATACCAGCTTGTTGTTTTTCAAAGTGAGTTCGTCACACAATTTGACATTATCCACCATGAATTACTACCGATATTGGTGCTGTACCTGCTGCTGCTGCTACTACTACTACTACTACAACAATTCTTGCGGCTGTCGCTGGTATAACTACTTTAGCTTAAATTTCAGGTAATGGTAGTATTGTAGTAGCATGTATGTATGACCATGAGGAACGGTTTGAATCACTTTAAATGCGTTCCTCAATCCTCATCATCGTCCTTCTCATCAAGGCCATCGTCATCGTCGTCATCATCATCATGTTCTTAACCATCACCACTTTAATAATCAGCAACGTTATCTTCATCATCATCATCATCCTCATCGTCGTCATCATCACCATCTCTTATTGACGGCTGTCATTACCCGTTAGAATTTCAATTTTATGAAATTAAAATTAAGTGCTATAAAATTTAATCGAGACGTACCTACACATACCTATGACGCAATGTTAACGTCTTTCAATGGCAGTTGGTCTGAATTAATTTATACAAATTTATGTTAATTTATGTTAATAAATTAAATTCTAGTACCTAGTTCCATATTCTAGTGTCCAGCTCCAATGAGGACAATAATGCTGATTGTAGCGATGACTATCATGATTAGGATGACGACTGTGATGACGATGGCACACACACGCACACGCGCACGCACACACAGACACACACACACGCACACACACAAAAATACACACGCACACGCAAGCACGCAATATAAAAGGCGGTTATGCTCGGTTACTTCATTCTATGAGCTTGTTCGGTTTTCATTCGATTTAACTGGCAAATTCAATTATGAATATATATATATAGAAATAATTGTATTATAATACAATAGATAATAATTATATTATAGATAATAATTTAGTTATAATTATTATTATATATTATTATTATTTATTATTAATATTACGTCTTAACTTTTTTGATAAATTAATTTTTAAATAATTTAAATTTTGCTTTGCAGGGTTCAAAGCTGATAAATTTTGGATATCTGGAGGGAACATTTTTTGAAATAAATAAGAATAAAATTATAATAAACAGATAAGAATAATAAAATTATTATTATTAATTGTTATATTATTGAAATGTTGGAATGAAAAATAAATTAATGATGTTTCGAATTTTGGTCAATGTTTAATTAGGTTTTTGTCTTCAAGTTAAAAAAATCGACAAGTGTCTTAATGGAACTTTTACTCATTCAATAATAATAACAACAAATATTATTATTTTAAAATATCGAATTAAGAACATCGATCGAAACTGACGGACTGATTATGACGTCGTCATTACGTCAGAGAGATGGACATTTTTAAAAGCCCAATTTAAAAGTTAAATCAAGTTGCAAAAATATATTTTGGTTCGAAAAAAATTTAGCGGTGTAACTAGAGGTAGAATATATCAAGATAAAAATTGTTTATTGATAATAATAATAATAACAACAACAACAACAAAACCCAAGAAAGAATGAAGCCAGCTGCCAAAACCAAATACGAGGTTAGTCTTTTGTTATTGTTATTATTATTATTTTTACCATTATTGTTGTTGTTGTTGTTGTTGCTGTTGTCGTCGTCGTTGTTGTAATTGTTGTTATTATTAATGTTATTGTTGATTTGTTGATTTAGTCGATAGAAAAACAGTGAATTGAATTTCAAATCGTTGGACAAGTTTCAACTCGTCATGTATTATTATCTCTGGAAAAATATTAAAAACACACATACAAACTCGCAGAGACAAACATACACACAAATACACACACATACATACAGACACACACACACCAACACACAAACCATTACGCATATACGTATTCACACAAACACGAGAATAAAACGTAGCAGAGGAAGAAAAGACACCCACACACACATACACACACATACACACACATACATATGCACACACACCCACACAAACATGCACACACACTCATACTCACATATACACACACAAACAAGCAAACAAACACACACACACGCACATACATACATACATAGTATGACTAATTTCCTAAACTTTTAAACTACATGCCATGACTGAATCTAATGAATGAATAATACATAACTCGGTATCTATACTTTATTTGCCGGATTCAGCGCTCAAATACATACATGTATAATGGTTTCACCTCGTATTTTAATAAGTTCGTATCGTATTAAAACACCATTGTATAACTTGTGTATTGCTTGCTTACCTTGTTCTTATGTGAAATACGTGAATTATTATAAATTTATTAATTATAAATGGATTATTACAAATGCATATTGAATACAATTCATTGTGTGTGTATATAGGTATTGAAATTGTTGAAACATACGGGTTCTAGAGCCACAAAAATCTCTTGGTGAAGAACTTGTGTCAGAGTGAATAAACATGTACATGAATGTTTATAAAAACATTTATTTATATATATATATTTATATTTATTTATTATTTATTTATTATAAACTTATTTATTTTTTATTATTATTTCTATTTTCCAGAAATCACATTTCAATATGTAATACTTTCCTTCATTTAAAAAAAAATTCAACTTACTTTCACCGAATGAAACTTGAGAGAACAAACGGATTTAAATTGAAGTTGTCATTAAAATGTTCGAAGTTTCAACATCAGATCACGTAATTCTTAGTGGCTCTACTCTACTTACAAACTCATTTCATCATCATTTTTATTTAGAAAATTTTAATTAAACTTATTAAATTTTAATTATAAATAAATTTGTTTTACTCTCTTTTCAATCATACAACTTCGATTTTCAATCATCTAGTTTTGCCATTCAATCAATTAACTCGATATTTCAATCGCCCAATTCAATTTTTCAACAATCAATCATATTATTTTCTTGATCATTTAAAGCTCAACTTTTAATTTAACTAATCGGAAAAAACAAGTTTTCAATTAAATTCCAAATTCATTTTTCAATAATTTAAATCTTTTTTTTCCAAACACATAACTTTATTTCACAACCGTACAGCTACTATTTTCAACCGCAGACTCCATTTTTAAACCACTTTTCAATCGTTCAAGTTTATTTTTAACAACCAAACAAATTTTCAACAATTCAACTTCAATTTTCAATTTTTTAACTATATTTACAATCACCTAACTTTATTTTTCAATAACTTTATTCATCTTCCGAACTACACATCTTAACTTTTCAATCAGTTATCTTTAATTTTTTATAGCCTAACTCTGGTTTTCAATCTCGTAATTTCATTTTCTTAATAATTGCTTTAGTTCTTCCTAAACTAATCAAACTTTTCAACCACTAAACTTGACTTTTCAACCATCAAACCTAGATTTCAATCACCAAACTCAACCAAACCTAGATTTCAATCACCAAACTTAACTTTTCAATCACCAAACTTAGATTTCAATGACCAAACTCAACTTTTTATCACCAAACCTAGATTTCAATCACCAAACTCAACTTTTAATCACTAAACTTAGATTTCAATCACCAGACTCAACTTTTCAACCACCAAACTCAAACTATCTATCACCCAACACTCACAACTTTCAATCAACCAGATAACTGAATGGACAAAGGATGACGACCGATTCATATCACTCGTTGACAAAAACCAACTGGACAGAGTCACACAACTACTGACGAAGAAGAAAATTGATCCCACAAAGATCGATCCAAATAAAGGATACTCCGCGTTAGTAATAATAATAATAAATTATTACTAATTAGCATTAGCTTAACTAATTAGCATAACTTATGCTAATCTCGTACTTTTTCATGAATATTTATTATTCATTAACTTTTAACTGCCATATCCTGTATTATGTAGATTGCATTTGGCCGTAGCCGAGAACCACCAGGCCATTGTCGAACTGTTTTTGAACCAGGGTCTCGCACAACGAATTGACGTTAAGGATGTTCAGGGCATGTTTGGTTTTGTTGTCGTTTGATGTAGACGTCGTTTTCATCATCGTCATCGTCATCACCATCATCATCATCGTCATCATCATCGTCTTCACCATCATTACTATCAGGATTGACACCAGTTCACAGAGCCGCCTTGAAAGGAAGGTACGAAATACTACAGAAGTTGCTACAGGTACAAAAACATTTGCTTTGATAATAATAATAATAACAACAACAATAATAATAATAACAATAATAATAATAATATCAATAATAATAATAAAATTATTATATAACGCTATCTGGATTATAATTTTTTCTGTAACCTCGTGCATTTCTAGCAAAAGCCAAATCTTTGTTCAGTGGACAAGCAGTTCAGGTCAGTTTTGCACCATGCCAGCGAAGGTGGCCATCTTGGCTGCGTCCAGATTCTACTGGCCAATAGTGCCCCCGTTCATTTTAAAGATAAGGTTTTTTTTTTTATTTATTTTATTGTATAAATATTTATATAAAGTACATGCCTATGGTACATGCTGTAAATTCAAGAAGGTTTTGTTAAAATATTTCGTGTTACTCTGCTGATATAATTAAAATTTTATTCCCATCGACCTGCTTGGAATATTGCGCTTTTTATATCAGCTTCAAGTTTCAAATCCTGCTAATTTAATTATCTTTTTTACATGAAAAATACCACACTTTCAGTTTCGTTTTGCCACCGAAAAAAATTCATTCACCAGGACGGGAAAACCCCGCTAGCACTAGCTGCAGAAAAGGGGCAGGCATCAATCTGCAAGCTATTAATAGAAAACGGAAGTGACGTCAACGATCCTGATGCGGAAAATAGGACACCGCTGCTGTTGGCGGCCTCCAAGGGGCATCCTTCCGTGTGTGACTACCTCATTAACAAGGGGGCACGTATCGATGCCCTGGACAAAAAGGGTCGGATATTATTTTTTCTTTACTTTATCAAATTTTTTCAAATCAATTTATAAAATTAAAAATGCCATCTTTATACACTCCCCCACCTTCTATCATCAGTTAACTCATTCACGCCAACCAAACTATACGAAGTTTCTGGATTGATTTCGAGTTAATAAAAATTTGTAGTTGAAGATTTATTGAGAACCCAAATTAAATGATTTTTCAGGCACGGCGATAGTGCGTGATTCGTTGATTCAGGCGTTGATTAACATGGGATTTGTGTTTCATGTCAATAAATCTAAAATTTACTTGAAATATAATTCCAAATAATAAAAATGAAATAAATATTAACCGTCTTCTACTGAAACCATCAGGTCACAATGCTATTTGGTACGCCACGCGAAACAGAGATATCCAAACGATTAGAATTTTAAACCAAGCTGAACAAGCTTACAAAAGTAAAATTGTTTTAGAAAAAACATTATCTAATAATATAATTATAATTTTTTGGTTTAATATTAAAATATAAATTTGATTTTTTTACTTAATCATATTAAATAAGTAACAGCCTATAATTTAAATTTTTTGGTGTACTTTCAGCTGGCTTAAATATTGCATCAAGAAGGTTATCTGAACGAGAAGTCATTGTGAGTATATTTTTCAATAATTGTGCAATACTTTAGCACATATTTACTGGTCTATACCAACTAATCAATATAAAATTTTTCTTTTTTTACTGACTGTATGACAAATTTTTACTATACAAAACTTATTTTCATACCATCAAGTCACCGAGACATAATCATTCCCACCCAAAACAACATCACTCCACCATCATCTTCATACCAGGACCACCCTTACGAGCCCATCGGCAACGAACCCCAGCCACACGGCAACGACAAATCAGACCAACTTAAAACACGTACCCAACAGCCCAAACCAATACCGACCCAAGACAGCCACCAAGACAAACGCTTCCAGATTGGCAAACCCCTCCCAGTTACACCACCCCCACGACCCCAAAAATTTCCACCATTTTCGGGAAAAAGTACAAGTTTGTTGGATTTAGACAAGAAGAAAGGGCAGCAAGATACCACGATTGGAGAAAAATTAGGGTACAAAGGGGGCGCGGTTTCAAAGATACCCCCTTTAAAAAATGGAAAGATGAATGGAAATGAAGACGCAAATGCTTACGAGGCGAATAAATATGGTCAATATAATGAAATAGGTAAGACATTTTAACATTGTATTATTTTCCGATGCTGCAATTATGAAACACGTAGAATGCTATTTTTTAACTCTTTTTTGTTAAATTCTTAAAAAGGTGCAAAAAATCATAAGCCCACATTTGAAAATCGTTAATGATGAGTAAAAAAACTTTAGAAAAACATAAACGAAACCACTAAAAAACAAATCTATTATACAAAATTTAAAATTAAATTGTAGAAGAACGTTAATTTAAACTGAAAATTCACACAAATTCTAGACGATAGTGAAATTGACGAGCCTTCGAGAAAAGAAGGAGCGGCCAAAAGGTTGGGACTGGGATTAGATTCCTTTCGAGAACTTCTGGATGATGCGTTCCGGAAGAACATAGCACTAGATGATGATGACGACATCCAGAATGAGACTGGTGCTTTGGAAGATGTTCACAGCGTTGTATGTTGCTGTTTTTTAAATCAGAATATTTTCTTCGTTGATTTTCGAATATTTAATTAAGTTGTTTTATTTTATTTTTTAAAAATATAACCAATAATTTATCCTAATTTACATATTTTAACTGATTTGAGTTTATGATTTGATGTAATTATAGTTGAATGAAATTTATGACAGATATGCAATAATCTTTTAAAAAAAATTAGACAGAATGAATAATTGTTCAAATTTTATTTACTCTTAATAAATTAGAATTGACATTTGAATAAATAATCATTAAGTAACTAACATTAAGAGCCAGCGTGCAAAAATTATTCTCAAATTCATGAAACAGAATCTATCGAACGAGGAGACAGAAATAGCCCCAGCAAAAACTCAAAGAAGTGAGCAGCCAAAGGTTCGATCTGCCCCAGGTAGCATCTTCGGAACGGAAATAACCCTCCCATCCATATCTCAAAACATTTCGCTTTCAAATCGTCACTCAACCATAACAACTTCAGAGGAATCAAACTCATTAACAGCTATCGCCGAAATGAATATGTCTGAAAAGGAGAAAGAGTTATATTTCCCGAAGTTAAACCTAACAGATTCGATAATGAGAGACGTAGACAAAATTACCAAAATTAAATCTCCAAAAAAAACTGAACCTAATGGCAACGGGTTGAACATAAGGGTGCCGCAGACTGTTTCCACAACTGGAAATTTGTACTGTAGCGATGTAGTCGGTGACATATACAATGAAAAGGTTAGCACACAACATGGCATCAATCCAGCCAGCGTAAACGATCAGCATGGCGAGAATTACTCAACAGTCACTCCGACGAAATGTGATAAGGATGAAATATTGAAGGAGAATATTGCTTTATTGAAAGAGGTCAGTTTTCTTTTGTCAAATTAAATTTTGTGATTTGTTATTATTTGATAAATAAATCACTCATTTACTACTTGTTGGCAAAAGCTTCGAAATAATTTATTTATTTTTTAAAAGTTGTAATTCTGTAAATTATTTTATTTAAAATAACAGTTAAAGTCAGCCATAGAATCACGAAAAGATTTGGAGTTAGAGAAATTAGAAATGATACAGCAACTGGAACTAGCGTCAAGTAGTCAGGACTGGCTCATTCAGGAACTCAAGGAGATGAGAGGCACTGTAGTTGACTTACTCGAAGAGCTGAATGATAAAAATGGGTCGTTGGGTGTCAGTAACTTGAATGAATCTACTATGAAATTCAAGAGAGAGCTAGAAAAACTAAAATCTCAACTTGATGCTATTTTGCGATTAGAATTAAACGGGGTTCATGATGTTGAGTCTGATTTTTCGAAAGCCGATAAAAATACGAACGATTACGCAGACGAACATAACTGGAAAGAACGAATCTCTAAATTGGAATCTGAAAAAAATTTAATATCTCAAAATTTAAAACAAATTTTAGAAGAAAATAAAACAAACCAAGTTCCTCTGACGGATGTTGAAACTCTGATGAACTTGGTGAAGCAACTAAAAGAAGAGAACGGGGCTCTGATTAATGACTATAGTGAGTTCAAAAACGAACAAGCAAAAGAACTTGCAGGAATCGAAGAAATTGTTAAACTTTTGAAGGAGACTGCAGTTGAAAACGAAGAACTGAGAAATGAAAATGAATCACTTGCCAGCAAACTCAATCGAATAACTACAACAGCTGATGACTTCGGTTATGTGAAACAAGAAAATGATAGACTGATGTCCGAGAGGAAAAATCTTGAAGAAACGGTTGAGCGGCAAGCTAAAGAATTGGCTGAGTTAAGTGATCAACTAAAATGCAATGAAGAAAAATTTGTCACAAGTTTACCAACAAGTCAGTTTAAATCTAACACAGATGGAGACGGTGAAGTGGATTATAAAAAAATGTATGAAGAGTTGAAACATGAATCGATAGAAGCGTACAAAGAGTTAGAAGCAAAGGAAGCTCTTGTTTCCGAATACAATCGAGTTGTGGACGAGTACGAGCAACTGCAAAAACAAACGTCCGCATTGAGAAATGCTCTTGATAGGAGGACTTCCGAAGTGAAACAGTTGAACAACCGCGTTCAAGAGCTCACCAACCAGTTAGAAGAATCTTTTGAAGATTTTAAAAACGAAATAAATTCCATACAGAATAAGAATGAGAAAAACTTTGAAAAGATTAAAGAAGAAAATAATGAATTAAGAAGCATAATTCAAAAACTGAACGAAGCAGCCGAAAAGAAAGATTCAACAAACGAAAACTTGGCTCTGGAATTAAGTTTGGAAAAACGAAGTAAACGAAAAGCTGGTGAGAACATAGAATCAAGAATAACGTTCGTTAATTACTGCGATGGCGCGGCACAAACTGACTCGATCGTAGAGGAAAAACGAAGCTTAGAAAGAGCAAAAGTGCAGTCGCCGATCTTTCAAGATTTGAAAAATGCGATGATAGAATCGAAACAATTGCAGGAAGAAAATAAAAATCTTAAAAAACAACTTGCAGAGTTATTCGCTCAAAAAGAAACGAAAAAAGATATCAAACCTAGCGCTCTCTCTGAAGAAAACATGAGACTGAAGAAGATAAATGAAAAACTCCAATCAGAAATAACTGGCCTCAAGAGAACGATCAGCGAACAGAGCGCTTACTTGGCAAATTTGACACCAAATTCCGGAGTAGACAAAGTCACATTCCCATCTGATTCCGACTCCAAAGTCATCAAAAACATCAGCAAAGAACTCAAAGCATCAAAATCCGGTCCGAATGAAAACGTTCTGAAAGAAAACACAACAAACGTTCAGTCGACATTAACTGATTCCTACGAGAAATCAAAAGAAATAAAATTGCAAAAGATCGAAATTGAAAAATTAAACTCAGAAATCATTGTATTGAAATCTCAAATTGAGTGCCTAGAAAGAACAAGAGAGGAGATTGATAGGAAAAACGAAGCTGAAAAAAAGAACCAGCAGAATAACGTGACCTCACTAGAATGTCGCCTCACAGATTTCAATAAAATATTTAAAGAAAAAGATAGAAAAATATCCGAACTTAGTGAAACGCTGAAAGAACAGCAGAAAGATTTAATCGAAGCTAAAAAGTTAGAAAATGATTTTGATAAAGTTTTGAAATTGTATAAGACAGTAGAGTGCACGTCGAAAGATTTGAAAGAACCATCGCCTATATTAGACAAAAAATTAACTTTGCTAGAGATGCGACAGTGGCTGAGGAGTGTGGAAGATTTTTACAGAGAGCAGAATCAGATGAAAGAAAGTAACGAAAAAATGAGGAGGGAAGTTGAAAGACTTCGAAGAGAACTCTCACAAGCTCAGGAAAATTATGAAGACGCCGTTAATGAAAATGCCAAATTATCAAGAGGACATTTCGCAGAGGTAAAAAGTTTAGAAGATAATCTGAACGAAAAGACAAAAGAACTT